ATGTCCTGGTCAGGGCCAGATTTAGGCAAATAGAAAGGCCAGCAAAGTTGGTCTTCAACATTTATCACCTTTGTTCCATAGCATTTTTTCCTAGCTTTGTTCACGTACTCCCAGGTAACCTCAGCGCCCTCATGTTGCCCTCTCTCTGTACAGGTCCTCCACTCTCTGCTTACAACATATCTAAAATCCAAGATGGTCCCAGGACATAAATGGAAACTTCTCCATTGCTATACCACTTTATCCTACTTACCTGTGCATTTTGACAGGGCTTTCTAGTGACCAATTCTTAACCTGAACGTGATCATTTCAGGGCCAATAGTATACAGAGGTGTCTGCAAAGCCTTATAATTCCAGCAGACTAGAGGTCTCCTAGTGTCCTGCTGTTCTGAAATATCTCAATATTGATCCATCATTTTAGCCTAGGACTTTAACCACCCCCACAAAATAAGAGTTTCTTAGGAGCAGGGCCTGAGCTGAGCCAATGCAAAGACATCCACAAAAGGGCTAACTCCGTCCTAGTATGCCAAGGGAGGCTAGTGTTTTGTGTGATATTGATCCCCTTCTGTCTACCCCCTTCCCTTGCCAGACAAGTATCATTTTCAATACATGCTGTGATGCAAAAAGGTTGGGGAAGCATTAACATAGCATAAATTCAATAATGATAATGGCTGATATTCACTAAGCACCTACTAAATGCCAAGCACTTTATGTATTTTAACTCATTTAATCTTTGCAACAATCCTATTCAGCTGGCATCATTATTCTCATTTGGCAGATAAAGAAACTGAACAAGGGCCGACCCCGTGGCGCACTCAGGAGAGTGCAGCACTTGGATGCGCAGCGACGGTCCCGCCGGGGGTTCGGATCCTGCATTTGGCAGATAAAGAAACTGAACAAGGGCCGACCCCGTGGCGCACTCAGGAGAGTGCAGCGCTTGGGTGCGCAGCGACGGTCCCGCCAGGGGTTCGGATCCTATATAGGAATGGCCAGTGTGCTCACTGGCTGAGCGCAGCGCGGGCGACACCAAGCCAAGGGTTGCGATCTCCTTACCGGTCACGAAAAAGACAAAAAAAAAAAAAAAAGAAAAGAAACTGAACAAACTTTCCCAAGGTCACAGAGATGGGAAGTAGCAGCACCAGGATCCAAACCAAGGCAATATGAAATCAGATTAAGAGGGTACACTTAATAACCACTATACATTGCCCCTAAATAAATGTTTGCCAGATCTATATAAGCTTTTAAAGAAATTTTTATAAACATTTGTTTTAAAATAAATACCCCTAGGGGCCAGCCCTTGGCTCACGTGGGAGAGTGTGGTGCTGATAACACCAAGGCCACGGGTTCGGACCCCTATATAGGGATGGCTGGTTAGCTCACTTGGGAGAGCATGGTGCTGACAACACTAAGTCAAGGGTTAAGATCCCCTTACCAGTCATCTTTTAAAAATAAATAAATAAATAAATACCCCTATAAACGGCAAAGCTAGAATACTGTCTGGTCACATTCTCTAGGTTAAATATAGGATGACAGCAGCAAGAGCTGGGCACATCAGCTGCAGCACCATACACAAGTTCACCTGGGTCTCCTTCAGTAGGTCCACTTCGCTATGTCTTGTAAAAATTATCCAATCAGCAACTAAGGGATCATAATTTGATCTCTAATTTA